TCAGTGCTGGGCCACCATGGGTACATGCGCTATCGCAAAAGCCTTTTGTCCCAAGGTCGATCGCTGTAAATTGAGTGATTCAACCTCAATAAGCTTAGCCTCTTCCTAGTTGTTGGCTTTAACAGGCCATTGCCCTATTGGCGTCTATGCTCCAGGGTTGGGAATCTTCCCAAACGCAAAAAGCAAAGCTGTATGGAAGAAGATGAGGTGGAAACAACTCATTCGGGAGCGCATACCTTCAAATATCCTACCGCACTAGAGGGAGTGGAAATTAAACGCCTGTGCAAGTTTGTATTGCCTCATTTATAAGTTCGAACACAGGAGCTCTTATTTTTCATGGCTTCGAAGAGAACTGCATACAGCAGTCCACGAGCGATCTTAGATGAGCCATCTAATCTAACCTAGACTATATATCTAGCAGTAAATGTTGCGTTGTCATTCCGGTGTTTTTTTTTACGTGGCGGGTCCCAAACCCAGCGCACAACCCTATGCAGGGAATGTTTCGCCTTCTCACTTTAACTCGTCTTCAAACAGATGTTCTTAGGCTACCCAGAGGATAMTTGGTCAAGGACCGGAAGTCGTGAGCTGCTTGAGTCGTATGTAAAAGAATCGTTTCTGGCCACTCCCAAGTGAATAGCGATCAGAGAACTTTTCTCACTTGCGTGAACATCTACGCTGGCTAGGTCATGTTGTCCGGCTGGACGAAAACACTCCAGCTCTGAAAGTATTCGACGCAATACCCGCCGGGTGAAGCAGAGGAAGAGGAAGACCTCCACTCCGTTGGAAGGACCAAGTGGAGAAGGACCTGTCTTCACTTGGAATATCTAATTGGCGCCACGTAACGAAAAGAAGAAACGACTGGCGCGCTGTTGTAAGCGGTGACTACGCCAATCAAGAAGAAGAAGTATAAATCTTCGATTAGAATATGTTTATGATGTATTACGGTCAAGTTGTATATTTTCCGGAGGCACACCCAACAGTTAGTTCAAGGCGAGTCAAAAAAACTTTATAAGGCGCATACTTAGTTTTCAAGCGGACAGCCGAGTTCTTGCGATGAAGCTGCATTAAATATACCATAAAGCGATAAGTTTTGTCTCCTCCTAGTTACCTGCTAATAACAGTTTTTTTTTTTTACTGCTTCACTTCAACCAAAACCGAAGCAACCGAAGAGACCTAAAAGATACTGAAATTCGTGCTCAGAATTTTTGCTCTTATTTTTTTGCTAACATACTGTACTTGCACACCCATACAAAAGTGATTAATGACGCAGCAATGAGACACCAACACGCATAATTGGGAAGAATGGAACCCTTCGATTCACACAGAGATGACGGCGGCAACGCTTCGAGCGCTTTACGTAGCCGCAATTTCAAAACTTTTTGCTTTTGACATTTACATTTGTAGGGCGCTTTGTTGGAGAGGCTTCTAGTTGGACTTGTTGCTCTGTAAATGAACCTATTTCAATTAGAACTACGCATTTTAGTAGATCGTGCACATCCCCACATTCAATAATAGCATGCTTGCGCCGGCATTCATACACACTTGTGGTGGAACTATAAAGTTTATTGTTCCATTATTGCAATATGTCATGGTCATTTGTAAACCAGTTTGCGGATATAATTTCCAACTAAAATATAAATTACTATTATGCTGTTGATTGTATTTTTTGTTTCACTGAAATTACGAAAGTAATTGTTGAACGTAAAAACCACAAATATACAATTATTGAGCAGTAACAACTCTTCCCCACATATATGTAATGAACTTTTGTGAAGATAGCTTAATATTTCTACGACTAAAAGTTATTGGTATAAAAATCCAGTTACACCTTTTTAGTCTTATCCGGCTTCTACATACCAATTGCCATTTTCCTAGAGCTTCAAGTCTTTGTTTAGGGCCTTTACCTTTTCCCATATTTCTCTGAAGGGTTCTTTGATATCTGGTAAAAGCTTCAGACCCAACAACCTCTCCTTATTCATTTTAAAATATTAAGAAGTCGATGTATCTTAAGAAAAAAGAAAGGGATGCAAAATGAAATGCTGTAATCCAAGGTCTGTGAAGGTCTTTATTGAAACTAAATATTATATTTTTTGGAGTTGTGATCCCTAATTTACTGCCCTTCCTTACGTATATAACATAGTTAAAAGTTTTGAATGGGCATTCAAATGAAATTTTTAAAATTAATACCACAGCGCTACAAAAATTTTATGATTTTCATGATAAGACGTATAGATAAGACGTTATGATAAGACGATAAGATTACAAGTTTTTGGCCCTGTCCCAGGAAAATCAACCATCAAGGATTAGTATGCTAGCTTTGGGCGTGGAGTCCTGAAGACGGTGAACCAGTGTACGCCCAAAAGATGTTATTACCGAAGAAAACATTAAAAAAGTTCACAAACTAATTTCGGAAAACCGTAAAGGGAAGTTATTCGAAATAGCAGGCACTCTAAAGATATCAACTGAATGTGTAGATCATATCATTTGCGATTATTTGAGTATGAGAAAGATCGAACTCACTTTTAACCAAAAAGGACACCGAGTTGATGATTCCAGGTAGTACTTAGACAGTTTCATAGATAATAAACCCGTCGATAATGTAAGAATTTATGAAACATGGCTCCATCGTTACACTCCAAAGTCTATTCAACATTCATTCGAGCAAACTGCACACAATGAACTTGCTCCAAAGCGTGAAAAAACGCTGTAGTCGGCTTGAAAGGTTAAGGTGTCTGTATTTTGAGAATCGCATGGAATAATTTTGATTTACTAATTTGAAAAAGGGAGGATCATCAATGCTTTATTGGACCGTTTTAAGTACGAAATCGCCGAAAACCGCCCGCATTTAAAGAAAAATAAAGTGATGATTGAGCAAGAAAATGGCAATTGTCACAAGTCAGTGAAACGATAGCAATAATCCATTACTTCCACATTCTTCGTTTCATCCAGATCTAGGACCCAACAACTATTTGATGTTCTTAGATCTCAAAAGGATGCTTACTGGGAAAAAAAATAGAATCGAATGACGTCGAATGAAGTGGTGATCGATGAAATTGTGGCCTATTTCGAAACAAGGGAAACAAAAGTTAAAGTATAGTATATGATATATGATTTAGATAGTTCCACCAAATGAGTAGATTCTTAGATAGAAAAAGACGTTGGACCAGTTCGTGCATACACAAATCGACTAAGCTCGCCACACTTGTTAATTATATATACTTTAAGGGTCTCCGAATTTTTCTTTTGAAAACAAACTTCGTTCAAAAATTTGTAAACCCTGTTTATGATATAAAAACAAAAAGAAAGCGCAAAGTTTACTCGCAAAAATATGTTAATTATTCAAAAAAGTCAGAAAAAAAAACATTTCACATAACTATATAATGGGTGATTTTTTTGAGGTTAGGATTTTCATGCATTAGTATTTGACAGATCACGTGGGATATCAGACATGGTGTCAAAGAGAAAGATGCTCAGTATGCTTTGACATTTCATCATGAATAGACTTACTAACGAGCAACGCTTGCAAATCATTGAATTTTATTACCAAAATCAGTGTTCGGTTCGAAATGTGTTTATCGACAAATTTTGTTCAGCGATGAGGCTCATTTCTGGTTGAATGGCTACGTAAATAAGCAAAATTGCCGCATTTGGGGTGAAGAGCAACCAGAAGCCGTTCAAGAACTGCCCATGCATCCCGAAAAATGCACTGTTTGGTGTGGTTTATACGCTGGTGGAATCATTGGACCGTATTTTTTCAAAGATGCCGTTGGACGCAACGTTACGGTGAATGGCGATCGCTATCGTTCGATGCTAACAAACTTTTTGTTGCCAAAAATGGAAGAACTGAACTTGGTTGACATGTGGTTTCAACAAGATGGCGCTACATGCCACACAGCTCGCGATTCTATGGCCATTTTGAGGGAAAACTTCGGAGAACAATTCATCTCAAGAAATGGACCCGTAAGTTGGCCACCAAGATCATGCGATTTAACGCCTTTAGACTATTTTTTGTGGGGCTACGTCAAGTCTAAAGTCTACAGAAATAAGCCAGCAACTATTCCAGCTTTGGAAGACAACATTTCCGAAGAAATTCGGGCTATTCCGGCCGAAATGCTCGAAAAAGTTGCCCAAAATTGGACTTTCCGAATGGACCACCTAAGACGCAGCCGCGGTCAACATTTAAATGAAATTATCTTCAAAAAGTAAATGTCATGAACCAATCTAACGTTTCAAATAAAGAACCGATGAGATTTTGCAAATTTTATGCGTTTTTTTTTTTAAAAAAGTTATCAAGCTCTTAAAAAATCACCCGTTATATTCAAAATTATGTTCGTTAATTCAAACTTGAACCTGAATCATCACATGACAACAAAAATCTTCTGTTGCCAAATAACCACACACTTATACAACTAAAGGATTCAGTAATCAAATAAGTATAATGGTGAGTTCAAGAAGTTGAACAGCCATGTAAACGAAACTAATAACACGAGAATTTTTAAAACCACACACACCATCACATTACAATTAAAGAACAGTGAAATCATAAAGCGTTCCAAAATGATTGCTTAAAATCCTCTAAAGCAAATCAAATTACTTTCCAACATTTCCAAATTAGAACATATGCGCATTTTTGTTGCAATATGCTGCTACCAACAATCGCCAGTAAATTCGCGCGCCAAAGCTACGAGTGAAATTTCCAGCAACTACTAATTGCCGGGCATTTCTGCGCCGAGCAGCGCCTGCGTTGACGCTTGCACATGAACAACTGGCTGTGTCGTTGTGTTGGTGTTGAGTGTGGTGAGTTTGCAGCTAAATAAAACTTCTGTGGCATGTACGCCTGTTTGCATATTTGCATGACAGTGTATTTGTGTGTAATAACTGCCTTCACACCGTTATTGTCGCGGTTGTCGTTGCTGGCAATGTTATCAACACATTTGGCCGCCGCTGTTGAATATAAGAGGACCTGCTGCATCCGTCAAACCTCAAAAGTTATACGACTCTTGAACTGTGAACAACGCAATACAACCAGGACTAAAGCAAAAGTGGTGCGAACTAACGAAAACATTGCAGAATATCCTCTAAAACCGTTGAAGTATTCGGTCTTAATTAATATTCAGTGTAAAGAGCAACAGTTTGCTGTTGACGCTTGTGTTGGTGTGTATTAAGAGTTAGCTTAAGGATTAGTGAAAAATAATAGTTAAAGATTAAGTGTGATTAAGCTCAAAAACATTTCAAGTGCAATGACTGTGAAAAGTGCAAACTTTTGAATAAACGTTTTATATTTGATGGATATTTTTTGGTATTAAAAAGGAATGAAGCATTACTTTGATATTGAAAAATGTCAAAAGAGTGGACCATAAATTGAATGAAATCTGTACTATTTGCACTGTAAATGAAATCGGTGGAGTAAATATCTCATAAGTATTTGGAAATATTAGTGAAATTGAAAAAGTTTATTTTTTTTAAATTTTTTGTAAGCTTCATCTCATTAGACGAAATACTTTTTAATATAAACCTTCTCACACTCATTTACCAGCAGCTTTTACTTCTTACCATACATTTGTTTTATTTTAAAATTTATTTGCCTACATTTAGGCGCCGAATGTTAAATATGTTTATATTTGAACAAAGTATTATATATAGCGTGTGTTTTAATGAATACTAAGCATTTTTTCAATTAATGATTTTTCAAATTTCGGTCACAATTGGACTTGGGCTTAGCACGGCCCACTTTTATATGAAAACAAATTGGGTATATGACATTCAACGAATATTCCTTTTATTATCAATATTAATTAATATGTCAAGATAAAACTTTGCACGAAATGGTGCATTTCAGAAGTGCCACTTTATGACTAAAAGTTGCGTTAATCAAACTAAAACTATTCAATCTCTTAGTTACTGTGAGACATACAATTGAAATTTGGAGAGCAAATCACACATATACCTAATATAAAGATTTTCGAACTTCCGGGTGTCTTTATACCGCATATATCGACCAATTAGTGAGTTATCTTAATAAAATTGAAAGAGCTTGTTTTTCTTATAACGTTGCACATTTGTGCTTAGAATGAATAAAATCGGGTGAAAACTCGCCATAGACCTCATATAACTAACAAGCCTTATGTACTTGAAGGTACTTCTCTGGCTTAAACCTTGCAAGTTGCAAGATTAGGAAATGTTCGGTTATACCCGAACTTTGCTCTTCCTTACTTGTTAAATGCTATATTCTGTTAATGAAACTTCAAAACAAGTAAAGTTTTAGAATAAATTTTACTCTCACCATAATCAAAAAATTCATTTTAACTTAAGTAATTCGACGACTAAGAAGTTATCTGTCAGCGTTCTAAATTTCTACATTAATTGAGATTTTGTAATTGTAAATCAGCATCTGAAAAGAACCACATATTTAATATATGTAAAACTGCAGTCGACTATAATTTTGTAGAAAAATTTTCAAAATCTTTCGAAACACAAGTCTAGCGTACGATAAAAAGTCGTTACAAGACATATGTTGCATGAAAATAGATTTTTTTCAAACATTCCAAAGTACATGCGAATTCGTAGATGCCCAAAAATACTCTTTTACAATTTTAAAATTCACATAGGCGTCGAAATCGGACCTGAATTTCAGTAGCTAAGATTAAGCAGAGATTACTCTAAGACATCTTCAATAAATATCATATTTCAAATTAAGTTGATAAAGGTTTTGGTACTTGGAATCATCTACGCACAGTGCTGCCCACTTGTGGCATTCACATAGTATTCAACATTTTTCACTTTCCGGAATCCTACTGAGGAATTGATAAACCTGCTTCCACTTTCAGAAAGTCTGTTGAGCGTATGCTGAAACCAATTTAGATTGTATATAGAAATTTATTGTTTTTCAATAATCCAAAAGTAAAATTAACTTTAATTAAAATTGTATTACCACCAACGAACGATTTAGACAATTTTTAAAAATGATGCGTGATCCATTTCGAGGTTTCCTAATTTTTGAAAGAAAAAACCACAAAAGCTTAAAATTTAATGGGGATGTTTATTATCACTCGAAAGCAGATTCTTTGGCATTTATTTTTTGAAGATTATCTCTTTCAATTTTTACCCGGACAACGTCTCAGATGACCCATCCGTTCAGTAAAACATTCGATGACTCGTTCGAGCATTGAGACTGGTAACTGGCGGATGAGACACGTGATATTTGCTCCAAGGTCTGAATCGCAGAGGGATTGTCCGCATAGACTTTATACTTTACATATCCCCACAGAAAAAAAGGTAACGGTGTAATACCACACGATCTTGGTGACCAATCGGCCGACCCAAAACGGGAAATTGCCTGCTCACCAAAGTGTTCTCTCAATAAATACATTAATTGATGCGATGGGTGGGAAGTGGCGCCTTCTTTTTGAAACTAAATATCGCTGAGATCACGAGCTTCAATTTCAGGCATCAAATAATCGATTATCATGGCGCGATAACGATCGCCATTGACGGTTACATTTTCACAGACATCAGTTTTGAAGAAATATGGACCGATGATTTTACCGGCCCACAAATCACACCAAATCGTTGATTTTTCTGGGTGAAATGGCAGCTCTTAAATCACTTCAAGTTGCTCTACGTGACAAATGCAGGCAATTTTGGTTGTTTACATATTCATTGAATCAGAAATAGGCCTCATCCTTGAACAAATAAACAAAATTTGACTCGAAAACGTCTGATCGTCTTCGAATTTTTGTAGAGCCCATAGTGCGGAGCAATGTCTTTTGGGAAGATCGAGCGGTTTCAGTTGTTGCACAATGTATATTTTGTACGCTTTCAATTTTCTTAAGTTCTCGATAGTTTTAACGGTATCGATGTGAAATGTTTCAAACATCCATTTCTGCAAACAAACTGTTGAGATGAAGTCATTATAGCATACAGCTATATATACCATATATACAGACCGATCCAAATAAAGATATCGTTTTAAATCCCTTTAAACAACAAAAAATGCACTTGTGAAGAGCTTCCGTACAGCCGATTTTTTTTTTTTTTTTTTTTTTTTNTTTTTTGTTTTTTTGTTTTTTTGGTTTTATATAAGGATAGTTGGAGAAATGTCAAAATCGTAAATCAGAGGCAATTTGTTAATGATCCGAAGTACTTTTGGAATTTTGGTATTTTACATAATAAAATTTGAAATTTACAGAATAATAATCAGTCAAACCTTTTAACCTGCGGTTGTAACTAATTTAAAGCGGTGCTGAAAATTTAATTAATCATAGTCTCGATTTTTGTTTGATACGCTTTATATTCATATATTCAATATCCAAAAGTGAATTCAGACTAAATTCCGCTAAAGTTTGTGAGTTCTTTCCAACTTCCAAAAAAAAAATTTATGATAACCTTTAAGCACCAAGTAGATGGAAATTAACGGGAAATCCTTGAAGCAGAAGAAAAAATTTAAAAGAACACCAAATGAGTTGAGATCAAGGAAATGTCTTTGCCGTCAAATGATGCTCTCTTATTTGACGGTTTTTTCGGTTGACCTAATGATTGACATTTGCGAACATTGCCTATACACATACATACATATGTTCATATATATGTGTGTGTGCATCTATTTAAGAGGTCGGAGCTCGAGAGTCGGAGGAGACAATAAATTTCACCAACGGCAAAACAACTGCCAGCAATTACACGCAATTTCGCGCCCCACCCACCAACACACACACAAACGCAGATGCTAAGTATTAGACCAATAATAGTGAAAGCTTTTTGGGATAATACAAAGAATACTAGTGCAGTTATTTGTAGCAATTCTGTCATTACTCTATTGTGTAATAAAGACAAAATACCGCAGAGGGGGTGAATTGAACGCTGAAATACGCCCAAGGCGTAATGAAATCATAACAAATTAATTGGAAAAAATAAATTTTTCGCATGCAAGTTTGTATTAATAAATGCAAAGTTATCAAATATTGGAGGTGGTTTAGCAAGGGATCAATAAAGTAGTTATACGCGTGATTTGCTTTTTTCTATTTGATTATAAAAAAATAGAGAAAAGTAAATGTGAAGCTAAGGAAAGATCATTTGCTATTAAGGGCTCATACTCGTAGAAACTTTTTTAGAGGTATCTAAGATATTTTTCAAATTATCAAGCGAAAAAAATATTTTTTTTTTTTTTTTGTTACCTGATGAACATCACTAATCTATAGTAGAATTTCTGATTGCAAAAAAACTTTTTCTCTCAAACTGCTCTTAATTAGTTTTGCTTACTAACCTGTGACACCCTTTTTAACAAAAATTCCGTGTAACTGAGAAATTTCAGCATTTTTTTGCATTATTGCCTACTTACTAGCACATTCTCGATGGCTAAAAAAATGAAGTAACCAATTTTTGAAGTGATGCACACACAAATTGGTCAAAGCACTTACAAAGATGAAATAGAAATTTCCTTTGGCACACAGTGCAGTTCACATATGGATACCAATGGGTACACAAATACCTGGAATTTGTATACATACATACAGATACAGATATATATGCTGAGGAGAAATTTCTTTACTCATTACCGTCACGCCTCAAGGATTCGTGTATATGAGGGAAAAGTAGAAACTTAGTAAACACAGAGGTGTATGTACATAATACTGGATGTATTGGGTGTTCGCGGAAAACTCATATGCATGTATATGTACTTGTATTCTACTACGAAATTATGCTCTTTGAGGCAAAAGCTGTTTTTTTTTTCTGTTTTCATTCAATATTTTAAACTCAGCCATTTTACGCCATTTCCGGTGACCCATCGTTGGCAGGACAACTCCTTACAGGATAATCTAAGGTGAACAAATATGTGGTTTAGTTAAAACCCTAACTTAGAACTTGGACAAAGGAAAAAAACTGAAAATGGAATTTTTGGCATTCAAATAGTTGTAATCGAAAACAAGAAAAAGCGTTGACTTCGGCTGCACCGAACCTAATATACGCTTCACAGGTGCATTTCTTTTAGTAACTATGTGTTCAGTCTGTATGGAAGTTATATGCTATAGTAATCCGATCTGAAAATTTTTTTCGGGGATTATATTATTACCCTAAGCAGTAATCCATATCAAATTTCGTGAAGATACCACGTAAAATGCGAAAGTTTTGCATACAAGCTCTTGATTCCGATTGTTCAG